CAAAACAGAAGACAAACAAAATACAATGCAAGCAGAACCCAGAGAAGAGCAAAAATATACAGAACTTTTTGTTGTTTGAATGCAAGGGTACACAAAGTCTGGGACACAATTCATGGGAACTCCTCCAATTAATGCAGAGCTAGATCAGGAACTGCTCAGTCACATTTTTTCCCCGCACGAGCTTTAAGGAAAGAGTGCACATTTCATTTCAATTTACTTAAAAATTAAATATAGCTGATACCATTACTCTCCAGTGCCTCCCCCTTCTGGTACTTAAAAAAAGAAGTCATTTGGCAACAACCTTTGAAGACCTCTGGGGGGGGACGTACCTAAGGCTTTGCGGGGGGGCATATTGTTGTGCACCTCTGTTTGATGGAAGTGAATGGAGCTCCGTAGCAATGCTTTTCAAGTTGTAAAAGCACAGTCTGGGGGAGGTTCCTGATGGATTGCAGCTCTGTGCATTTCCACGTGAAATTTATTTTGCACCTCCTGCTCAATATCCCTGAGGCACTTAGACATCATAAAAATAATCCAATGATTCAAAGCCTTTTTTTAAAAAAAAAATAATTACCAAGGATTTTGACAGACTGGATGAACACGCCTTGGCAACTGATGTAAAAGCACACACAGTGTCCCAAAGAGTAATGACGCTGGGTTTGCAATGGACCACACACACCCCATGATCTGAACACTAGTTGAAACTAGAGCTGGGTGTCAAGGTTGCAACTGCTGCTGAAACCAGCTGCCCCACATCTCCTCCTTGTCTTCTCCCCCTTGGCCATGCCCACTACAGGAATCTTCGAAATTTGAGGGCCAGCGAGCATACCTGGAATTTTGAGCGTGTAATAAGGGCATTCTCAAACTGTAGTGGCCAATACAGCCATTTGCCAGAAGGTAAACCCAGCCCTGGAATGTAGCCACCAGCCATTCAATGAAACTCTAGAGAGCTCAGAGGCATTGTTGGAAATGCCAATAATGCTTGAGGTTGATGTTTTGCAACACAGCACTGCTATGTTCCCCTTTGCTTTATTATTACAATACACAGAGTGCGTTGCCAAGTGCACTATGGTGTCCTTCCCCACCATCACTTCTGCAAGCAGCAGCCAATGAAACTGAAGGGGAAAGTGAATGGCTATTACATGACATATTTGGTAATAGGAGATGCCATAAAGAAGAAAGGAAGAGGAGGAGATGGAAGAAATGGCACCATCTTTATCAGCTCTACAGTATTTAGCATCTGAGGTGTCTGTATGAATTTACCCCGGTTTTTCCAGGACTGAAATGCAGATGGACCTTTTTCTTACATGGCTGATCGAGAGACTGCTTATGAGAAAAGGTAATAATGTAATTTAAATAGCAAAGGCAGTAAGCTTTCACCAGTTATAAACACGTAAGATCAAGATGAATATAACAAATCTAGTGATTGGATTAAGAGTAAGTTTATATACAAAGGCAAACAAACTAGTTAAAAGCAGCTTTTCTTTAAACAAAATAAAAACAGCTGGACATGGGAATAACTATTGCACAATGCCCTCTTAAAATTACTGCTATAAAATAAAGAAAATTGTAGAAACGGTAATGCTTTTTCATTGATAAAGCTATCTGGTTATCAGATTTGTTATACAAGAATTTATAGTGCGCAAACAGCTTGAATAAAAAGTTTATAATTCAAAGAAGACTTTAGGTTGCAAGATAAATTATTGGGACTGAAATGTGCTAAAAATATAGTTGATTACATAATGGAGACTAATTTTTTCCCCCAGGGGGAAAAGTAAAAACAATGCAAAATTGGTGGGATGGGGGAAGAGGAGAAAAGAATTGTAGTGAATGTCATATGTGATATTTATAGTTAACAATTTGTGCAACAGATGCATTGCGAAATGCTTAGCTGCAATGCTATTACGTAGTGATGGTTAAGTCTTGCAAATTGAGAAGAGCTTAAAGCGGTTACTCTAATGTAATAAACTTGCAACTTAAAGACTGCAACACGTTTAGCACTAAGGCAAAAATGTGAAGGCAAACTGGTTACATTTCTATGTTTTGGAAAAAAAAAACAACTAGTACATGAATAAAATCATAGGAGAAGGGAAAAGAACATCCAAATGCAAAATATTTGTTTTGGTCTCTGGCTTGGATATATCTGACCATTTCCTAACCTTGAATGTCCAAAAGGTGCACCTGAATGTCAATTTTTATTTTCTAAATAGGACTGTCATTCCCCCGCCACCCCTTTAAAAAACAACGATAAACCAGAAAAAATGCACTGAAAAAATAAAGAGGACTATCTGAATAAAACATGTAGATTATAGTATGAAGCATTAATTAAAATGATACCTCAAATGCTTGTGTTGAACTCTACTTCATAAACAAGTACTGTAGTATAAAAGCAAATAAGATGGAGACGCTTGCAAAGCCAAGGACTAAGAGGGCTGCAAACTGTTCATCAGAAGGCATCATACATTTAGTCTTGGGGTCATCGGGTCTTCCCATTTCCCCTGTAAGCATGAGCTCACTCCGCTGAAGAATAAAGGCAACAGAAGGGCTGAAAGGTCCATTAAGTTCTTGTGAGGTATCCAAGCATCGGCGGCAAACACACACACGAAATCTATAATCTGTGTTAACCTGAAGGCCTGAGATTTGGAACATCGTCTCATCTCCCTTGTACACCTTGAAGTAACAAAGGGGAGGAAAGAAAAGTTAGTCAAGATGCATAAGAAATTGTCACTGAAACTTCACGTCAAATTCATCAAACTGGAGCCCTGCTTAAAATCAGAACACACACTACCTCAAAGTTTACTGAGCTCCTGGAGAGAGAACATCTGGGGAGAAAAGTTGGCTTTTCAGGAAAATGAATTTGATAACTGGACAGAATACTCCTTGTCCTGAGAGGTGCTTTATTACCAAGTTGTAATGACCTTCCTAAAAACCAGTAGGGTAGGAGCTATTTAGATTTCCAGGTACACGGGAGGCAGCTACTGAGAAGACCCATGATCCCTGCTGATGACGTTCCCTGAGAGAAGGAATACAAAGTAGCCTACATTATCTGAACTTATTGGAAAGGCATAAGCAATTGGGAGTAGAAGGTCATGCAGTGGCCCAAGTGCTTAGCAATGGAAGGCTTTAAAGATGACAACCAAGAACTTGAATTACATCTGGAAGTCAAGTGGCAACCAGTGCAGTTCTTGAAGTAGTGATGTTATATAGGTGATGTGAATCAATGTGACTACTTGAGATGCTGCATTGTGGATCTGTTATAGCTTCCAAATGCTCTTCAAGGGCAGCCCCATGTAGAATGTTGCAATATTCCAAACAAGATGCAGCTAAGGCATGAATGACTGTCAGAACAGCTTTCTGCTCCAGAAGAAGTTGTAGCTGGCAGCTTTCACACACATTAAACAAATCACACCACCACTCTATAAGGAAAATACATTCAGTACATATACATTCTTTGTTATACCATCTACACATGTAGCCTTGCAATCTTCAACGTTATTTCCTTTTCATTCTTTTTTTTCTTTGACACTAAGATTTATAGAATTTCAGTTCCACTCTTCAACATACCATGATCATTCCCATTTAAGTCTTTATAATTTTCACACAGATTGTCCTTCCAGCATTTGTTCATTTCAGCTGCATCCTAAATCTTTTCATTACTTCTATTTTTAACTTCTCTGCTGGAGGCCCCTTGTTTAGCTTCATGACAAAATGCTTGTTCTCTATAAACACATTATACAATATATTTCATTCTTTAATATGCAATTTTTCCACACACAAACACCAGCAATGGAACTGAGTGTTATGAAATGAAATACACAATTTCTGCAGTCTTTATAGATTTGAAAAACCTTTAATTTCCCCACTCCCAAGTAAAAAGATAACAACAAAGGTATGACAGTGTTTCAGTGTAACTGTTAAAGCAAAATTACTAAATACTGTTTGACACTATCATATCAGCCACTGAAATATCTCCATTCTCCCTAGCACAACTCCATTCCAAAATGTAGCATAGGTCACCGCTCAAAATTACATCCAAAACTGTCATCTATTTTTTTTTCTCCTTAAGTAGTGAGGGACATTCACAATGTAACCATGTGATGTATGTTTCTCCATCTGTTATGAGCTGCTTGAACATGCCCAGTTAATGTAAAATTAACAGAAAACAACACATAGTCACAAACACCATTCCTTGCATACCTCAGCTATGAAACAATGCAACTTTTAAGTAATACACTTGGAAAATGCAAAGAAAAATTAAGACCCAAAATTCTGTGAACAGCAAGCTCAGTTGGGCTCTATGAAGGCAACCATAACTGGGCTGCATAATCTGGATGATCACTAGATGGCATGAGAGAGAAATATAAAAAAATCTAACCCCTGGCTGCCATCTAGTGGCCTTCCGAATTATGGCAGCCCAGATATGTAGCTCAACTTCTATCAATATAGTTTACCACCCAAGAATTTATCTTAACCAAGACTATCAACCAGGAGTGATCTTTTCAGTTGTATTTTTTAAGTAAAAGTGGTGATAGTAGAAATGTACTGAAGAAAGAGTAACACTTCAAAAGCTGACTCAATTATTTTCTGCCAGATGGAAAGACGATTGCCCTTCAATAACAGTGATCAAACTTTGGTAGAGAGAGGAAAAGAATAGATTTTTCTATTAGTCTGCTGTGATTCAATAATTGCCAGCCATAGGTTGCACAACACAACATGACAAATAGGGACTCTACAGCAAAAATATTAGATCTTTCCCCCTGAGATCCTATTACAGCAGAGTTTATAGTCCAAATAAGATAATTTTCCTGCAGTCAAATACTGCAATTAGAAATTTGCATGTGTAATCCATACTTAATTGCCGTAATTACAAAAACGGAAGAAGCATACACTAAACACACACTTTATATGCCTCAAATTTGAAAATCATTTTTTGCTGTAATGGATAAATTGCTCCTTTTATCCAAAAACTACTGAGAAGAGGTGGCTTCCTAGTTAAGAAAATAATGATGAGAAAATTTCATGTGGATGCATTTACCTATAGTGCCATTTTTATCCTCATCCTCTTGTTAATTGTTGCTGAGATTTTACCAGTTCAGGCTAATGAAACAGGGAAGTTATGATTCAATGACATATGAATCACTAAGTGGGAGATAAACTGAATTTGCATAGGCATGGCATGGGGTATTCAGAGCTGGAGGGCAGACAAAGGCAAAACAGCATTAGTGACAATTGTTGCAAACAACAAAACGTCTTTTTAGCAGCAAATATCTTCCAAACAGACAGTGTTTTGTTCTTCATAGTGAACCTGTTTGCCCATGAAGCCCAAAGGATATGGACAAACAGTGGCTAACTCTGCCCCTCAGCCCCCAATGGCATTATTTTAGTCTGTCACAGTTTTTGGAAGGATTTCTGACACTAACACTGGCAAAGTGATTCAGGAGAAAAGGACAAACTGATTTGCCAGAGAATTATGACACGTAGAATCTTGGGACTTCCAGCGAGGAATGGTGAACTAACACCCCACATTTTTTCCACTCCACAGATCGCGGGTGGCATTATGGCCGAAAAGGCAGCTGGATGTGGGATCTGGACTGCTGAAATTCCCTCTGGATCAAAGAAAGATCTTTAGATTACCCATATGTATTCTGGACAGCTGGTTTTTTGTGAGTAGCTGGCAGAACCCAATGTTTTTGCATTTGTTTGCGATCAGCTAGAAGTCGTGGGTTTCATCATGCTCTGAGCTGTTAATGCAGCTTTTTATGGACTCAAGGCTTGATCAAACATCATCTTTCTAATCACTTTGGAGCTTAATTTTCTTTTATTGTTTTTTTAAGATTGAAAAACCTTCAGAACTGGAGGTTAGTATTCTCTGGGTGAGCCTCTCTTCAATCAGTTTAAAAAGAAAGAAAATTACGTGTTTCAGCTTTGTTAAGTTCTTTATTTTTTTTTGCAATATACAGCAAAAGGTTGATTATAGTGTTGTTTTTGGAAAAATTTTAAACACTAAAGGTTTGGATGAAATTGATTCAAAGAAAGAATTTGAAGTTAATTAGAAAGATCTTCTCGGGTGGGAATAATTTTTTTTGCTTACATTCCAAGCTGATAACAAGCCCTTGAAGGTTGATCACTAAAGGCACCAGATGGCTACTTTAAAGGAAGTGTTTGATATGTTGGCCCAGGAAGTGTTTGAGTTATTTAACGCTATACTGGAACCAAAAGCTGTTACTGAAGAGAGACAAGTCTCTTTGATGATAACTGAAATGGACTTTAAGGTGGACTTAAAAATTATAACTACAAGAAAGAGATGGAAACGCTGTATTTAGAAATGGAGTTGGATGATCATTTGAAAATTAAAAAAGACATACAAATAAGGTATTTAAAAAGGTGATGTGGATTACCGTTGTAAATTGGAATATAAAAGAACTACTGGAGTTACTACACACAAATTATAAATAGACTTGGATAAAGATGACAAGAGTTGCAAGAGAAGAGACAAAGATATGGGAGGAAAGCAGAAGTTAGAACTTTATTTATGGGACTTAAGGATCGCTGAGAGGAAGAAGGGAAAAAAAAAACACACACAACATTGGTTTATTTGATTATGGTTAAATAATGAGCTGTTATCTCCGCTGATGTTTAATGGTTATTTTGACTGGATAGTTCTGTTCGGAGACGTTCAACCGGCTGTACTGGATTAGTTTGCAATATCCACGTTACTATTTTTGATATGTAAATAAGGGGTTACTATTTCTGGTAGTGTTTAATAGTGTTTAATTTTTTGTAATGTTTAATTGTTAATTGGGATTTGTTTGTTGTTCAGTCGTTAAGTCGTGTCCGACTCTTCGTGACCCCATGAACCATATTGCGC